ATATTATGGCTTATTACTTTGATCAGCTTCTGTTTCATCGCAGCATTCCCTTTCCCCACTAAAGCAGCTAAACGACTTGCATATATTTTTTTTTTGAGCCCTCTCATCCAGGTAATTCCAAATAACCGTTTCAGTGAATCTCTTAATCGTGTTTCTGGCGTTCTTTTATTATTAGGCAGCCACTATTCAATTTTCCTCTCTATTCACTCATTATCCGCTATTCTTACCACAAGCAGCTTAGCCTCTCTCCATAGCCTATGGCTTTTTGATTACTTCGATCACATCAAACCAATTGCATTGCTTCGTTACAGAAGTGCCGCGATTTACTGACATCTAGCATACTTCCTCCTGTGGCTCGCTGAATCGCTGCTGATACTTCGAAATGAGCACTAAAATAAATCTCATAGCTATAATTTGAGTTAAATTTTAGAAGTCAAAAATTGAAAAGGCGCGAAATTTTAGCCTCATCTTTCGTAATTGTGATTAAGATATTGCTGGAGAAGGGGGAGGAGGGAGGAATTCGAAGTTAGTGGATAAATTGTGTGAGGACCAGTGCATTCTTCACTTGTATTTCAGAAAATGGATCCAATCCATCAGAAGGAAATTGATAAATTTCTGATCGATCTCGATGGAACCGAAAACAAATGTAAATTAGTTTCAGTTTTTCTGTCAACAGAATACACGACGCATTCTATCTCAAAAAACACCCTTCAGCAAAATTTGGTGCTAACGCGATTCTGGGTGTCTCGTTAGCTGCTTGCAAAGCGGGCGCAGCTCACAAAGGCTTACCGCTGTACAAATATATCGCGGAACTGGCTGGCACGAAACAGGTTATACTCCCTGTTCCGGCTATGAACGTCATCAATGGCGGTTCGCATGCCGGTAATAAACTTGCTATGCAGGTTTGCTTTAGAGTTAAACAAACTTTTGTCTATCCAGGTTCGACTAATAGACACTGATAAACATTAAAGTGGGTAGTGAAAGATAATTCACGAGTCACAAAGTAGCGAACTGGATGACCCACATCGCATGTACAGATGGAAATGAGGGATGTGTAGGAAAAAGAAAGAGAAGCGCAAGACAGTGAAATCTGGCAGCGTAGAACGGTCCACGTGGCTGCTTGCAAGTAACAATTTCACCAAATTCATAGACTAAAAGATCCTGGTAATAACATCAGCGGCGGGAGTAAAAGTAAGCCTCCACATCTAGTGGTCAAGGAAATTATGGGCTAAAAATGTTGCAACGACAAGTGGGACACTCAGCTGGGATCTACAGTTGAACATGGGATGTGTATAACTTCGGGTAAAGAAAATGCAACCTAGTCCCGAAGGAAATAAATTAGTACAAAGTGACCTCGACTTGAACACTGCAATTTTTGATTATAGCAAATGACACTACGGTTTATTTCTACTTCTTATTTGCGTGATAAATGAAGCATTGCGAGAGCTCAGTGCAAGAAGTGAAAATCATTGACGACGAGCACCGGGGTGGGCCAGTGCGATCATGCGTTTTTGCAGTGTTTCGTGCTGTAATGAGATCGCTCGGAAACCCAGCAGCTAGAAACGTGTGACATACTGATCCTCGGATTTCAGGTAGTTAATTGTCTATGTTGTACTTGAACAGGGAACATTCTCTAAAAATTTCAGCCTCCCCGCTTTTCCGGCTCCCGAATTAGCCATTTCCCGTCAAAAATTTCCATGGGGTCATACACGATAATTGCACTTGCCTGGGAAGCTGAATTTGATAAATTTATGTTATACATGTGCTGAGAAAATCCCCTGAAAATTTCAGCCTCTTAGCTTTCCCGATTCCCGAATTAGCCATTTCACCGCCAAGAACTTTCATGGGGCAATACATGAGAACTATGCATGCCTGGAGGCTGAATCTGACAAATCTTTGTTGTATATGTGCTGGGAACAATCTCTGTAAATTTCAGCCTCCCAGCTTTCCAGGTTCCCGAATTAGCCGTTTTCCCGCGAAAAAGTTTCATGGGGCCATACGTGAGAACCACATACGCTGAGGGGCTGAATTTGATAGCTTTAAGTTACAGTTGTGCTGGGAACATTCTCTGAAGATTTCAGCTCCTCAGCTTTCCTGGTTCCTGAGTGAGCGTTTTTCGCGCCAGGAATTCTACGGGGCCGTAAGCGGGAACCACGCACACCTGGGGGCCGAATTTGAAACCTTTGAGCTCATTATGGCCAGGGAACATAACCTCAAAATTTCAGCTTTCTAGCTTTTCTGGTTCCCGAGTTAGCGATTTTTCCGCCAAAACTTTGAGGCGCTCGTACGCCGGACCCAAACTTGTGTGAGAGTTGGTACCGCGGTTCTGTGTGGTACTTGGCCGACGAACCCACCCGCAAAATTTTGGCGCCGGAGCTTGCTTGGGTGCCGAGTTAAAATACTTGGATAGACGCGCGCACACACACACACACACCGCGATCGTTACAATATGCGTTTTTGCATTTGCATATAAGCAAAAACGCATAATTATCGAATCAAAGATAGCGATCCAAAGTATCAAAACGCTTGCATCTTGCTCGCCTCGCCAGCGGTCGGTGAAAGTTGTTTGTAGCAAGTATACTCCAAAAAGTAAGTGACTGCTCGGACAACCTCCGAAAAGATGGCGCAAATACAGCCAAGAAGCGGTGAGCACTAACTGTAGGTATGTGGTTAAAAAACGAAGGATCTGGCATGGCTGAAACTGATGTGTAAGAGCATCCCCCACTGACTACCTGAACGGTCTTGGTATTTTTAGTATTTAATACAAGCTAGCATGCAGACGTTTCGGTGCATCAAAACACATATACTTTATTTATGTATTGTAGATGGATTCGTCATCGCTAAGTTGCAGCACAAATTTTAAAATGTAAATTGTACGATTAAAAGATTTGAAATGCCACAGAGGGACACAGGTAGCACGTAAGAATTAGGTAAAGCCTGGAAAAAAAGAAAACGGAACTGAAATGCAAGATCACAGCACGCAGCAGAGACAGGCTATGTGTTTTATCCTCATATGAGATGCATGATTAACGAAGAAGAACGATGATGAAAGAGTTGCATATTGAACATCTAACGCGTCTATAAGTGGGATACATATACGAGCAAAAACTCATTTTACGTATACAGCCCTCACATGGACAGTAAGCGTCCTCATAGATCATAGATCTCTATGGGGACATTATTGTCCGTGTGAGGGCTGTATACGTAAAAGCAGCTCGTTGCTTAGTCTGGTTATTGAGTTGAATGGGTGCCAACAGTATTCCAAACCGAATTTTAATTGCACGTACACGAATCTTTGATGTGCCTCAAAGCTGATTTTAAAATCTTCAAATCCTACACAAGCTCGTAAAATTAAAACTGTACTCAGTTGGTTCCCGAAAAGTGCTAAAGATGTCTAATTTTGGACATCGATATGTTCATGCGCATGATTTAGAGATACTCGATAACTGAATTTGAAACCTTCTGCGTATATATTTGCAAAGAAATTCCTCGTAAAATTTAATTCAGAAAATCCCTTGTCTGCTATCGGAAATCTTTTTTCTTCCAAAACATTTCCACATTTTCTTTCCGGTACCCGTACATGAAGCAATGGCTTTGTGGCATCACAAAACATCGTATAACGTGCAATAGTGCAGGAGCATCCCCAGTAACAAGCTAACAAATATCATCTTCGTTAACCAGAATTACAGCTTGATCTGTTTTTCCGCTTCTGTAGTCTGCAAGCTTTTGGACGTTTTGTGCTCCTTCATTTGTTTTCACTTTTTCCCATCACGAACAGTCGTGTTGTTTTCTCCATTGCAAAAGAGGAGCGCTCCTCAGTCCCGTATACATCGCAGCTAAAAAGGGCGCCACACATACTGCAGAGACAAATTTTGCTAACAAAGTGGATATTGGTGCGAAACTTCTAAATTAGTTAAGACAAAAGCAGTACATTTCCCGCGATGCGCTGCATGTGCAGTGGAAAAGAAAACAGAACATAATAGAACTGCCGCATGATAGAAGTACAGAAAATTTAGTGTGCTTGCTTTTCTTGGGCTGTGATTATTCACCTTTGCAACTCACTATTTTTATTCTTTTGTATTTATGGCTATTACTTAAAAACAATTTAGGAATTCATGATTTTGCCAGTTGAGGCTTCGTCGTTCTCAGAGGCAATGCGCATGGGATCCGAGGTCTACCATCACCTGAAGGTATGCACCAGACCAAATTCTACGCAGCTTTGCCTCTTTTTATGCGCTTTGAGCTGTACAACAGCTGCACAAAACGCATATTGTCGCGGGGTTATCGGTGTTTGTTTGTGGGTATGTGTGTATATCCAGTGCACCTTGTCCGCAACTTTCAATTTGGAACTACAAAAGCTAATAAGCTGAAAATTTAGCGTGGTATTTCTTGCTCACGTAGAACTCCACAAATTTTCAACATCTCCATGAAAGTTTTGAAACCATTATCTAGGGAGCCAAAAGAGTTAGGAGGTTGAAATTTTCAGGAGAATGTTTCTTGCCTAGGCAAGAACTTCATCAATTTGAATTCAGTTCCTAAGTACGCTGATGTCTCACGTACGACTACGCGAAAGTTTTGTCTCAAAGATCATTCGAAAGCCTGAAAATTAGGAGATTGAAATTTTGGAAAGATATTCACTTTCCGAGGTTTCATATTCAGTTTTCACGTAGCGGTGCGAGACATTCCGCAACTTAGGAACTAGACAACATTTTGACTATTTTTGCACAGACCAAAGTGCAAAGTATTAAAAATCGTTAGCAAACAATCGTCGGTGGACGGAATTGCACAAAACACATGATCT